TTTCTTTTAATTTTAAGAGAATATTCTCTCTCTCTCTTTTTAAATATATTTTATTGATTTTTTTACAGAGAGGAAGGGAGAGAGATAGAGAACTAGAAATGTCGATGAGAGAGAAACATCGACCAGCTGCCTCTTGCACACCCCCTACCGGGGATGTGCCAGCAACCCAGGTACATGCCCTTGACCGGAATCAAACCTGGGACCTTTCAGTTTACAGATCGAGCTCTACCACTGAGCCAAACCGGTTTTGGCTCTTTCTTTCTTTCTTTTTTTTGGCATACATCTTTGGATCCTTTTGCTACTCATTTATGATTAGGTAACAACCACAAAACAACAAATATTAGATCTGCTTCATTGTTTCTATTAATAAGGTAGCAAATTTAAAACTTTTGATTAACTTTTAGAATTGTTTTTACATATATTTACTCTTTCCCATATAATGGTAATAAAGAATTGATATTCCTAAAGATGTTATACTTATTCTTTGAGCTTCCAGATTGCCTAGTTGTTAAGCCTCAAACATGCAAAATGTGTTTAGTAAAGAGGGCCTTGATAGTTCTTTTCTCTGCCTAGAAGGCTCTTGCCCCAAAAGGAGCATGCTCCTTCACTTCATTCAGTTCTGTTCAAATGTCACCTCATTAGAAAGGCTTTTTCCTTTTACCATAGCTAAAATAAAGAGGCAAGGGAGAGTGGTGCTAGTACCTACTCATTAGCAGTCTTCTCTATTCTGACACCCTACCACACAGCAACTACTAATCTACTTTCTGTCTGTAGATTTACCTATTCTGTATATTTCATATTAACTGAATAATTAATATAAATGTATGGTCTTCTGAGATTCACTTCTTTCACTTAGGATATGTTAGTGGTTAGTTCTCACCTTTTTGTTTTGATTTATTGCTTGGAAACATCTTTGTGAGATTTCAGTTGGAGCTCTATCCTTTGGCCTTGATATCTATAACATTCTAATCTTAATAATTCTCTTTTTCCCCGTTTCCTTTGCATTCTAATAGAACGTGTCAACGTTTGTGCTGCATTCCACAATCTGTTCTAGTATATTAATTCTGATGAAGATTTAATTTTGCTGTTGGATTTTGTTTTTTCTTAAGTTTATATATATTTTTCCAGATCCCTTTGCATCTCTTGCTGTTCTGTCCTTACAGCTCATTGTTCTTTCTTAATAAATAAAACTGAGTTTATCCTTTTATAGAAAGAAGACAGTAATAAAAAATGTCCTCTGCCTATCCCCTAAGTTCCTGGTGTTTCCCAGGGCTTCCTTCCTCTCCTCCTACTCTACCCCTCTTCTTGTCCATTTTTAACCACCACTCTGGTTTTTTTCTACCACCTGCATGCCAGTGACACCACATCTATATAACTCCTGCCCTCACATTCTCATTGACTCCTATACTTTCTTTTGGGCATCTTCCTGAATATCATTCTTAAACAGGATAAGAGTAGTAAACTGTTTTATTCTTTGTCTAAAAATATTTACTTGAATGATAGTTTAACTATATAAATTTTAGTATTTTTCTTGAACACTTTGAAGATAATAGTCCTTGTCTTCTGGATGAACCTTGAAGAATATTCTAAAAATTGATTGTGATGTTGCAAAAACCTGTGAATTGAATTATATACTTCAAATAATTGGATGGTATGGATTTGTGGATTTTATATGCTAGATCATTAACCAATCTTTAATCAAGCACAATCCCCGCAGTAGCCCTACAAAGAAATATTTGTTCTTTGTTTAAATTTGCCCTCCATTAAAACAACTAAGCTTGCAAATTGGAAATGCCCTATGCCATAGTTAGTTTGCTATCTCACTAGGTCAACTCTTTGTTGTGCCTTTTCAGCATGATCCACTCAGAGGCTTTTGACTACAATGGCATATGTAAATTTGGGTAGTTGGAAAAGTGAGCATTTTAGAGGCTCACCGGAAGGAAATATTACAGAGTCCCAGACTAGAAATATACTTAGTGAGCCGAGCTTTAGTAATGGGAAAAATAGTCCATCTTGACATCTTGGATTTTTCTGTCTATTGGAAGACATGGATCAAGAGAATAATCTTTGGATCTGATTTTTAATTTTATTTTATTACACATTCTGTGATTACACGTGCCTCCTGCCACTCACCTTTCAAACAAACCATCTCAAGTTTACCCTTTTCCATCCTGTGATTTTAAGGGATTTCCAAGTCTTTTTAACATAGAATATCAGAACTGGAAGGGGATTTTATGAGTCATCTAGTTTAACTCTTGATTTTTACAGATGTTCATTTTACTAGTAATACTGTGATACCTTAGTTTGTCATTACTCCTAAGGTGAGTATAATGTAGTACTAAGAGCGGCACTAAAAATGACAAATTGGAAGTGTAGTGGGAAATCTTGTTCATGTTCATTATTAGTGAAACCTGAATTTATAAAGTTAGTGCTCCTGTTTTGTTTCCCTTGATTTATTCAGAGTAAAACAAAAACAGTCATATTATATGTAAACTTCATTATCATATTATATGATAGCTTTATTTTCATTTATAAAAAATAGTATCCCTATTCTAATCAATATTTAGTTATAATATTAATTGGAATTTTCTAAAAATTTCTGTTTAGAAATTTCTAAACAGAAATTTTAAAACAAGGTGATTTGCTAAATAGAAAGGAAAGAGATTGGTCCAGACAACTGGAGCTGAAGAGGATAGAAAAGTCAAATGAGAAATGAAAGTATGCACATGGATCAATGGTTATTTTAAAGATGAAGAATATTATATACAGTGTTAGGATTTTCTTTTGCTTTTTGATCAGTTTTATTAAAGTATCGGGTCTAGTAATAATTAATGTCGTTTTTAAACATTCGTTTAAAATCTTGCTTGGCGTTGACTTGTATTGACATAACCTTCAAACACGTGGTATCTACAGAACGTGTGAAGTGCAATTAACAAGTTTTGCTTGAAAAAGTTTGTGTTTGGTTTTTGTTGTAAAACTAGGGCTAAGAAGATGGCGGATGAAGAGCATATTCGGCACTGCATGCTTTACGAGTTCCAATTAGGAAGAAAAGCAAGTGAGGCTGCAAAAAACATCTGTAGTGCTCTTGGTCAAGATGCAGTTAGTGCCAGAAAATGCCAGCGTTGGTTTGAGAAATTTCGCAAGGGAAATTTTTTGTTAGATGACAAGAGTGGTCGAGGCCGTGTGTCCAATTTTGATCAAGAAGCTCTTCAAGCTCTTTTGGTGCAAAATCCTCAAATTACCCAACAAGAGCTTGCGACAACTTTAAATTGTTCACAAAAAACAATTTCCAATCAATTGCGTGCACTTGGCAAAGTCCAAAAGTTTGGAAAATGGGTTCCTCATGAGTTGACCGACAACAACCGTAATCAAAGAGTCACAATTTGCAGTTCGCTCCTCTCTCGTCAAAACCGTTTGCCGTTTTTAGAGCAAATTGTTACCGGAGATGAACAATGGGTGCTGTATGTTAATTTGAAAAGGCGGCCTCAATGGTTGGACAAAAATGAGGCTCCGCAGCCCACACCAAAACCTGACTTGCATGCGAGAAAAGTGATGTTGTGTGTTTGGTGGAATTTTAAAGGAATTCTTCATTATGAACTTTTACCATCTAACCAAACCATTACAAGTGCAGTATATAGTGCCCAATTGGGAAGGTTAGCCCAAGCTTTAAGAGAAAAAGAACCCGCGCTGATTAATCGGAAGGGCGTAATTCTTCACCACGATAACGCATGACCGCATACTGCAAGAATCACTGCTGAAAAACTGCGCCAGTTGGAATGGGAAGTTCTCCCTCAACCTGCATATTCTCCTGATATTGCCCCTTCCGATTACCATTTGTTTCGTTCTTTGCAAAACTTTCTTCTTGGAAAAAAATTTAATAATGAAGAATGCCTCAAAAATGCATTGACCGAATTTTTGGCATCAAAATCACAAGAATTTTACAACAGAGGGATTAAAATGCTTCCTGAGCGTTGGGCACAAGTAGTAGAAAACAACGGCAACTATATTGTTGATTAAATTTTGTTGTATTGTGTAAATAAATTCGATTTAAAAAAGTATTAGAAAACGACATTAATTATTACTAGACCTAATACTAGCGCCTGGTGCATGACATTTATTAAAGTACTAGCACCTTGTGCATAACTACAATAGTACTGGGGCAAGGGGCATCCCTCAGCCTGGCCTGCACCCTTTCTGCAGTCTGGGAGCCCTCGGGGTGTGTCCCACTGATTGCCAGAGAGTGTGGCCAGCCTGCAAACAACCACAGGCCCCTCGCCCAGGCCATCCCACTCCCTAAGGGAACCCCTGCCTTGATCCAGGACATCCTTCAAGGCAAACCAGCTGGTCCCCACCTGTGCACCAGGCCTCTATCCTATCTAATCCTATGTAATAAAAGAATGATATGCAAATTGACTGTCACTCCAGCACAAGATTACTGCCCCCATGTGGACACAAGATGGCCATCACAAGATGGCCAGAAAGGGACGCAGTTGGGAGAGACTAGGCCTACAAGGGAGAGCAGTTGTGGGCAATCAGGCCAGCAGAGGAGGGAAGTTGGGGGCGACTGGACCTGCAGGAAAGGGCAGTCGGGGAACCCAGGCCTGCAGGGGAGGGCAGTTAGGGGCAAACAGGCTGGCAGGGGAGCAGTTAGGTATCAATCAGGCTGGCAGGGGAGAGGTTAGGGAGTGATCAGGGTGGCAGGCAGAAGTGGTTAGGGGCAATCAGGAAGGCAAGCAGGTGAGCAATTGTTAACCAGCAGTTCTAGATTGCAAGAGGGATGTCCGACCTCCCGTTTAGGTCCGATCCTACTGGAATTGGGCTTAAATGAGCAGCTGGACATTCCTCGAGGGGTCCCAGATTGGAGAGGGTGCAGGCTGGGCTGAGGGACGCCTCCGCATCCCCCCCGTGTATGGATTTTGTGCACCAGGCCTCTAGTAGTAGTATGTTTATAAAAAAGCTCTATGTCTTTATTAATGTTCTGCCTGATTTTTCTCTTTTAGGAACTAAAGAGATTTCAGAACTTTGTGGAACATTGTCCTCCTTTTGATGTCGTCGTTGATGGGCTCAACGTTGCCAAGATGTTTCCTAAAGTTCGTGAGTCTCAAGTTGTAAGTACAAGCTTTATTTTGTTATTCCAAATCTCTAGAAACTATTTATTGTATCCACTTGTGATCTTCTTGGCATCTCATAGCTCCCCATTTTTCCTTCCTCTAGAAATAAAGCTCTTAAAGGTGCCATAGCGACCAACTGCTCAATTAAGATTTCTTGTTTTCATCTCTGGAAAATAAGTGGCTCTTACAGGGTGAGCAAGAATGAGAGATTAAAAAGTCCACATAATCAAGGGCCAGGTCAGCCCTTTTTGTAACCCATAGCTAACTTTCTACTTTCCATTTACTCTGTCATTTCCTTGTAGGTCACATCTCTTATTTGAAAATCTTCAGCATATATTATCAAGATTCATTAATCATTCATTACTCACATTTGTTTTTTTCAAACATGTTTGTAAATTAACCTAAGCAGGGTTTTTTTTGTAAGGTAATAATTTTTTTCAATCGGTTTATAGATGTCATAGTAGTTTCTAATAGGAATATAATGATTTTTGTAGCAGTTGTGAGCAATTATTTTAATCCGCATTTTACAGTTCAGAAAATTAAAAAATTGAGGCTAATTTTATATAGTAAATCCTTAAAAACATCAAAATTAGTTTGTGGAGAGCTCTGAGGTTTCAAGCTTGTGGCTCTTACTGCTGGCAATCTATGGTCATTCATCTGTAAACTCTTATTTCTTAAAAATTGCTGCCGACTTAAAAGTGGTTTCTGAGATTCTACTAGAATACTTTGCCGTGTACACTCAGAAAATACAAGTACTAAGAAGAAGGTTGATTTACAGAAACTTCTTTATATGCCTTTTTATATTTATGCCTACTTTTTTATAGTCAAGTATGTACTTTTTAATCCTTTTTTTTAAAAAAAAAAAAAAAAAAAAAAGCAAGTGGAACATATTTTTGTCTCTTAGGCACTTGAAGGAGCCTTTGAGGCAGTAACATTGACAAAGGCAAAGTGAAAGAGGAAACACATACCCTGCTTCCCTGAAAAGAAGACAGTGTCTTATATTATTTTGTTCCCAAAGATGCGCTAGGTCTTATTTTTAGGGGATGTATTATTTTTCTTTCTTATTTATTTATTCATTTATTTTTATTTATTTTTTTAAATCCATCTTTATTGTTTATATTATTACAAAAGTTCCTCATTTTCCCCCCCTCCTCCAGGTTCCCACCCCACCCTCTGCCCTTTCCCCACCCCCCATTGACCTCATCCATAGGTGCACAGTTTATGTTCTGTCTCTTCCACCACTCCCCCCCCCCAATTGTCATCCACTCCCTTCCCATATCTCTGATTCTATTATAATCAACAGTTAATATTGTTCATCAGGTTTTTTAATTTCCTTGTGTTTTTTTTTTAATTAATAAACTTTTATATTTTTAAGAATAAATTTTAAAATCTAATAATTTTAAAACTTGTTTTTTCTGCCCTGGGAACTGAGAAGCAAACTTGTTTACATGTAAACTTGCCCTTAGGCTATCAAAAGGCTTAGCCATTCAAATGTAAATGGACACATTGTTTAAACATAGCTGCTGGCTGGAATTGGATTACCTGTTCTGGGTGGGAAGGGCTTGTCATTCCCTTTCTCCATTAAAATTAAGGTGTTAGCTTCTGTTTTTGGCAAGAGACCTTAAACTTTCAGAACTTTAAATTTTTCAGGTAGCAAATCAGTTACTTAGCATTTTCTCAAATCAATACCTGCACATTCCCAAGGATACACTTCACACAAAAGAAACATCCAAATAGATCAACAAACCTCATCCAGACCCCACACAAGGCACTCACAGATCAACACCCCAGCGCTACAACAACTCAATACATCCAGATCTAAGCCTTCATAACTTGATTCAGGAGACCCTCAAGTTCCCCCGAAAGTTTCCAGCCATGTCTGAGAGGCAGCCTTGGGGCATGGGCAGGCAAGGAGCGAGCTGTTCGGGCCTGGCTGCTCCTGGCCTGGCCTCTGTTGCTCCGGGCCCGGCTGCGGCCACTACGGGCCTGGCTGTTCCCGACCCGGCTGCTCTGGGCCCGGCCGCTCCCGGTCTGGCTGTTCCGGGCCTGGCTGCTGCTGCTCCGGGCCAGAAGACCCTTTGAATTCCAATACTGACTCTGCTACTTAGTACCTTACATAATTTGAGCAAGTTACCCTCTTTGTGCTTTAGTTTTCTAGCATGTAAAAAGGAAATAATAACAGTACCTATCTTATAAAGATGTTGTGAACAGTAAATAATTTAATGTATGTAAGCTTGGCACATAGTAAGTACTTAATAAGTGTAAGTATTATTGTGGTTACTACTAAAATGAACTTCCCAAATGGAACAATAATTCTTGCTTTCAATAGACTCTTATCTGTCAGTATAAAATTTTTTCTATCATGTCATTCATGTCAATAGAGTTAAAAGAAAATGCAAAACTCTGCCTTAGAGTTAGAATCAAAATAGGTCTAATACTATCAAAAACTTAAGAAAATTTTTAAGTATATTTTAATAAATTTTATTTTCTTCTGATTATAAAAGTAATGCATGATTGCTGATTATAAAGTTATTGTGTGTAAAAATAATTCAAGTAATTGTAGAAAAATTGGAAATTACAGAAGAGAAAATCATATATAATTCTACCATGCAGCAATAATCACTGTCATATTTGAAATGGGAAGGACCTTTGAAATATACATAAAATCCAAGATCCCTGCCCAGCTGGCATGACTCAGTGATTTAGCATCAACCTAGGAACCAGGAAGTCACGGTTCGATTCCTGGTCAGGGCACATGCCCGGATTGTGAGCTTAATCCGCCGTGTAGTGCGTGCAGAAGGTGGCCAATCATTGATTCTCTCTCATCATTAATGTTTCTCTCTCTCTCTCTTTGCCCCTCTCCCCCGATCTCTCTCTCCCAAGTCAATAAAAATATATATTTTTTTTAAAAATCCAAGATTCCCAATGGAAAGAATAGAGAAATTTTCTAGACTGTAAAAAATATTATAAGCACTGTTAAATGACAACAACAAACTGAAAAATATTTTTTACAACATATATAATAAAGGGCTAATTTCCTGACTGTACCAAAGACTCTTATACGCCTGTAAGGAAAAGATGAGCCAGGCAATAAAAAAGTAGTTTAACTTTATTCATACTTATAGACATGCAAATTAAAACATTTATGTTCCAGATTGGCAGAGATTTAAAGGTTGCTAGTATCCAGTATTTTGAATGGTTTGGAGAGGTAGGTGGTGGGTGATTCGGCAATAACTTTGAATGCCTAAAAATTTGAAATTCTACTTGTAGAAACTGATATATTTACACTAGTACATTAAGTCATATATCCAAATATGTTAGTTATAGCATTGCTTGTAAGAAAAAATCTCTAGTCAACCTAAATATCAATCCAGGAACTGATATATATATTGAAACATCCATTTAAAATGAAGTTGATTTACATTGTGCCGAGACCGGTTTAGCTCAATGGATAGAGTGTCGGCTTGGGGACTGACGGGACCCAGGTTCGATTCCGGTATAGGGCATGTACCTTGGTTGCGGGCATATCCCCAGTAGCGGGTGTGCAAGAGGCAACTGATCGATGAGTCTCTCTCATCAATGTTTCTAACTCTCTATCTCTCTCCCTTTCTCTCTGTACAAAATCAATAAAAGATATTTTTTTTAAAAAATGAAGTTGATTTATATTGAGTGGCCAGATTATTATGATCTCTGAACACATAATAATCTGGCCACTCAGTGTATGTATGTATTTATTAGAGGCCTGGTGCATGAATTCGTGCATGGGTATGGTCCAGCCAGCCTGGCCAGGGGAGAGGGGACATGGGCAGTTGGCTGGGGGACAATTTGCATATTAGCCTTTTATTATATAGGATATACACTGAGTGGCTAGATTATTATGCATTCAGAGATCATAATAATCTGGCCACTCACTGTATATGTGCTGATACAGAACAAAAGCTAAAATAAGGGTCAGAAGCAAATTGAAGAACAGCAAGCTTAGTTCCCCACTTGTGTTAAAAACAAAACCAAAGGATTACCAATATATAAATGTTTGTTAAATAAGTTTATATATGTCTAGAAAATTTTTAGAAATTATACACACTTAAAAACTTAATAGTGCCCTAGCTGGTTTGGCTCAGTGGATAGGGCATTGGCCTGCAGGCCAGAGGGTCCCAGGTTCAATTCCAGTCAAGGGCATTTACCTGATTTACGGGCTCGACCCCCCAGTAGGGGGCGGGTAGGAGGCAGCTGATCAATGATGTTTCTATCTCTTCCTCTCCCTTCCTCTCTGAAATCAATAAAAATATATTTTCCAAAAAAAAACCTTAATAATTAATTTTTGGAGTTAGGGATAGAATATAGGGTGTGACAAAAGTAGGCTCATGAGTACATGAAACAGAGTTTATTCTTATATTATTATTTATTATTGTGTTATTTTACACGTGAACAACTGTAAGCCTACTTTTGCCCCAGCCTGCATTAAGAGAATGAGAGATTTCAATTTTCCATTTCCACTTTCTTAAATTTTCTTTAACAATGAATATATATTATTTTAAAATAAGACATAAATCCACATTACAAAAAGTGAAAACACATTCTTGATAAATATTTTTAAATAACTATAATATTCTGTGTCTTAGGGATGCACCATAATTTTTAATCATTTCCCTGTTCGGGCCTATTTGTTTCCCATTTTTCACTATGGTAAATAATAATGCTTGGAAGAAGATTACTGTGAATGTTTCAGATTATTTCCTTAGAATAGATTCCCAGAAATAGAACTCTTGAATTAAAGGGTATGGATATTTGCAAAGGTCTCACTACATGTTGCCAAATTGCTTACTCAAATGATTGTAGCCTTTTGCTCCTAACAACAATGTATAAAAGTGCCCAAATAGAACACATTTCTTCAAAATTTCTTATTACATGATTGCTTCAACTATTTAGTTACACCTGTGCCATGAATATGCTAAGTGAAAAGAGCTGGGCCAGTTTTTAGGTCAGACATTTAAAAA